TTGTTTTTATGTACTTGTATTTTGTGGCTGATTTTGTCTAAAGGGACGAAGCAACCTGTGCGTCTGTCTATGCGAACGCGCGGGCCGAGGTGCCTATTATTCTTTTCACATAAACTAGACTATTGCCGTTTGTAGCGGCAATGAGACAGATTACAGATGCGCGTATATTTATTATTGTCACCAAATTAACCAGCGTAGTATGGATTAGCGATTTTGTTCGTTTAGTTACCACATTCCAAAGAGGCTCTCATACATTGCTTTGCTTCATGGCAGTTGTTCTCATTATAATTAGCGAGTTCAATTTTTGTTACGATAACGATATTATTTATATTTTCTGTTTGGTGAGTGGGTATCATTTAACGAGGGGATATATGAGAGTCCGCAGTTGGATAAGTTAGTGGAGTCGTAGGCGGATCACTATTGGGAGAGTGCTGATAGTTGCGTGTATTAGTGTGTGTAGGTTTCGAGTGTAAGTTTGGCCAGGATATATGCTTACGAGTTGCAGGATACTGAGGACATTATGTTTTACAGTAATATGTTATTTTATTGAGGATCTACGTTATTAGTTGTACTGACTTTGTTCCGCTACTAGTCGATTTTAATCGTGGATATCTCTTCGAGGATTTATATGCGAAACAGACTATCAATCCTCAATTTGCCAGTTATTGTAATTTCGGGAATTAGCATTGGGTGCTGTAAGATTTGGTGCGTATTTCCGGGAAATTGGTCCAAACATAAGGAATATTTTGTTGATGGTTTGACGCATCAAAAATCTTAAAAAATTAAAAATTAGTAAAAATACTTCTAAAATATCTTATGGCATCCTCGGTATATATATACATCCTTTATCTTTAATTTCCTATTTCATATTGTGTAAAAATACATAGCAGTTTTACAATAAAACGTTAAATGACCGAACGCTTATTTGCTACTTTTCGGATTAGTGAAATGGATTCTTAAGTAGTATTAGTTTGGTCTGTAAAGTAAGATCTCTGCTCTTGTACAGATCAGAACAGATTTCTACATCCATCCCATTGCTCTTTAATCGTAGTAGGTACCCAAATATGTGTAATTAGGTACTCTTTCAATTGGTTGAATATTGATTACCAGTCGGCCGGGTTGTATGTTATGTTTACTGATTACCATCAATTTGTGTTTTTTTGTTGTATTAAGAGACAGTCCATGTCCATACTCATGTGCTGGCGCTAATGACACGGTTCATTAATTCCTGGACACTCTTAAGGGAATCGAGGCGAACACAATGGAGTAAAGAAAGAAGTAAATTATAGAGGATACCTACCATTTATAATATAAAGTAAAAATAAACAGGACATTATGACATATGAATATACAGATGGGTGCAAAAAGAATTATGGAAAGAAAAATACATAAAAATTGCTTAATAAACCGTTTTCGCAATTCTCCATTTACATAAACATATCTTCATGTTGTCGTTGATTAATTGAAATAAATAATAATACCATGAATAGGTTTATAATAACAATAAAAGAGCTGTTGAACAACATATAATTGTTTTAAGTTATAAGAAAGTCTTTGAACACATATTTCTTTTCCCCGACAAGTAACAGCAAACATTAATAATTCTATTACAATATCACGCAGATTGTAATAAAAGAATCATAATATATCTATAATTAACCGAGCCAGTGAGAAAAATCCTTGACATTAGATAAACAATAATGGACATGGATTGAACAAAAAATAATTAGAAGCCTGATGATTTTCTGTGAAACAGATCAGTTTATGGCGCCGCGCCGCGCCGCATCGAGAAACCAGTGTTATTTTATATTTTATTATGCTGTTCTTAAACGTAATCATGGAATTCATTTTCTTTAAAATGACAAAGGAAAACTATTATTTGCAGTTTTTTACAGTTATGTTATAATACTTTCTTCGTAATTTTCAAAGCCGTTTGTAATGGTATTTTAATGGTTTTGTCTAGTATTATCATTACAAAAATAGATAAAAGGATAAGAAAAAATACTTAAATAAAAGAGTCAGGAGATTGGACAGGTCATGACCACAGGGTAATATTGTAGTTATTCAAAATTAGTCTCACGGTTCTCGCTACATACGGGCGTGCAATGCGCGCATTATCCTGCATTAGATTAAATAAATTAAATATAAATTAGATATTGTAATCGCAAAACATTTTCCTATGCACGTCATCTATCATATCGACATTGACACTATATAAAGTATATAAACCTGACTAAATAAAATTTTGGCAAAAATGTTTAAATTTGATGTATAATTTAAGATACCGAGCAGTTCTTCATTTGACTTTATAGAGCAAATGATTGTAACAGATATTTTATTTAGATTAAAGCTGCAAAAATTAGTTTAAACCGAATTTTATTATCACATTGTGCCGTTTTCAGCAAGGTTGTCGTTTATTATTTGACAATTATCCTAATGTCAGTCATTATTTTGTATAATATCGTGTTGTTGTTGAATCTTTGTGAGTAATTCTCGTTTTTTTACCTATTTTCATAGTCTTTTTTTTTAAATTGTACTTTTAAGCACAAACAGTTCTTTTAAGAACAAAAATTTTCGAGTTTTTGTATTGCATTTCTTCAAATTGTGTGTTGAAAACATGCCGAAGCATTTAAACGAAGCAAAGAGCTTGTACCTTCCTTGATAAATTATTTTGAACGAGAACGTGACAATAAAGGTCCTTTATTACCGTTGACTGTAGTCAGAGAGGCAAGTTTGATTGATAAACACATTAGACCACTTTCAAAGTTATTTCTGCGTTAGTTTTTATTAAATTCTGTGATTATTAGTTTGTGCATTAATAGCACCCTCTTACTTGTTAATACCACTTATAGCATTGTAAGATGTACATCAATAAATAAATAAATAACCCCCCATAATAACGCTTAGAATAATCTTCCTAACGAACTAGTTTTTGCCAATATGTAATAAGTAAAATAAGCTATGAAACAAATAAATCAATTAATTATTAAAATATTAGTTATTAAATTAAAAATATGATGTAAAAATATTTAAAAAATAATATAATAAATATATTGTTTGTCACTTTTAAATTAAGATTCATCTCATAAATCCATCCCAACGTGGCAGCGCTGTCGCCATCGCTTGTCACTCAACGTTGATCACGTGCATCGGAAATTGTTTTGCGATTACTTTAATAACAAATTCCTTCACCGATTTGCACTTCCCGAGAATAAGGTAAGAATAATGGTTTGAAGAATTGTGTCACGATAAGCAACTAGGCCAATACTCACTCCAGCCAAACTAGAATTGTTCCGCTCTGGTACCGATCCACCTCATGAATAGGTTCCAGAAGAGCAGCGTTGCCTGGCCGTCTTTATACTCTTATTCTTCTGGAATCTGGTCTCAAACCAAATCTGGATTCATCAGTGAAGAGTACACGATCCCAATCTTGTTCTTCATAATTAACATGACCTTCGGCCCATTCTAATCTCTTTCCGCCTATCAACACACCTGTCAACCAGGAAATTCTGCGCCTTTCAGGTCCTCTTTCAAGACCTCTCCCTGGAGTATCAAATGAAGTAGATACATACATCGCTGACGAGTATTCGACACACATCAGAATATGGTCACGAAAGGCGTTTTCTTTCATGAGCTTTTCTGTGACTGAAAAGCCCGATACGTGATGTTATCTGCCTACCACACTCCGCGGACATTCAAAAATCTCATTGCTGTGTTGCCTCTTTATTTATTATAGGAAAGAATGAGCCAACACAGGTTTTGCCAACACACCTATATGGGAATCTTGTATCAGTAAAGGCAAAAAGCAACAACCAACTAAGAAAAAAAACGGAATATCTGTCTATAACTTACCTACTGCATATCAATCTTGGATCCTATTTTTTTTAATTACAAATACAGCTACTTCACTTTTGTCTCCTAGACCATTTTGATGTGTTTATGTACAGCATTAATTAAATTAACAAAGATTGTTATTACAAAAAATACATAATATACAGGGTTGTTCACCACATACGACACGGAGTATTGTAGCAAAATGATTAGATTTTTACAAATGGTAAGTTTTGAATTCATTGAAGGACTATTAGAGCTACAATTTAAAAATATTTTTACAAGATACAGAGTGTCCCAAATAAATAAAAAATATCAAAGTTGCATTTTTTTAAATGGAACACCCTGTATATTATTAGATTTTTAGTTTCTACGATTAAAATAATGGTAAATTTGATTAAGGTTTATTACACTTAAATCTTACCGTTTTTAAAATATTTTAAATTTTGTGAAATTGCAGTAAAAATTTTAAGGCTTCAATTCTCCAAGGGTGTCAAAGTTTTTAATACTAAATATTTACTGAAGTCTATTTATTGATCAGTTATTGTGTTGCAATAATAAAAATAATACTACCTCATACAGAGTGTCTAAAAATTTATTTTAAATAATTTCTAGTTTAAATGGCTATATCTTGTTTAATTTAAATGGAGCACCCTGTATATTTTAGGAGAATCAGATGCACAATTTAATTGTCTATCAAATTGTATTATACCATTTCTTACCTATCCCTTCAAGTTTTCGTAGAAAATGCATTTTCTTATAATTTGGATCTCATTTATCAATATACCCATGGAATATTGACATTTTAGAATGTTTTTAAAGCGACAAATGTACGAAATGTACAGGCTAGTAATATTATCATTTTTAGCAAAATGATAATATTACTATCCCATTTGTATGCAAAAACAGAACTATTTAAATATTTATAAAAGAGTATACCATTATAATTAAATATACCACCATTATTTCCGAACAAATACTAATTAATTACATACTTAATTATGTTCGTTAATAAATTATTCTAAATAAATGTGGATTTGAATCAGAAATCAATATAATAATAAGTTATGAAAATGAATGTCTCTGTTGTTATAAATAAAAGTTTTTGTCAAAAAATGAAATATCATTTTTAAGGAGTTACTTTTTACAACATTGCCTAATACACATACAAAATGCAATTTTTTAGTATTTGGAGCAATTATTATAAATCAACGCAACAGTCAATTAATGTAGTTCGAATACTGGAATCATATTAATCATTCTTTAACAAATATTTAAACAGCTTTTTATATTTTTTTAATGAAATAAACGAAGTATATCGACAATATTAGTATCTGTACTCTTTAAGACAATTAAATTGTGCATCTGATTCTCCTAAAATATACAGGGTGTTCCATTTAAATTAAACAAGATATAGCCGTTTAAAGCTAGAAATTATTTAAAATAAATTTTTAGACACTCTGTATGAGGTAGTATTATTTTTATTATTGCCACACAATAACTGATCAATAAATAGACTTCAGTAAATATTTAGTATTAAAAACTTTGACACCCTTGGAGAAATGAAGCCTTAAAATTTTTACTGGAATTTTACAAAATTTAAAATATTTCAATAACGGTAAGGTTTAAGTGTAATAAACCTTAATCAAATTTACCTTTATTTTAATCGTAGAAACTAAAAATGGAATAATATACAGGGTGTTCCATTTAAAAAAATACAACTTTGATATTTTTTATATATTTGGGACACTCTGTATCTTGTAAAAATATTTTTAAATTGTAGCTCTAATAGTCCTTCAACGAACCCAAGACTTACAATTTGTCAAAATCTAATCGTTTAGCTACAATACTCCGTGTCGTATGTGGTGAACAACCCTGTATAGTTCTTTCACAAAGGTATACACAAAATTATTTTTGTAAAATAGCAAATACTAAATTTGAAAATCAAAAATAATATTATTTTTTAGGGTTCCGTATCCAGAGGGTAAAAACGGGAACCCTATTACTAAGACTTCGCTGTCCGTCCGTCCGTCTGTCACAAAGGTCTATCTTATGATCCGTTATAGCTAGACAGTTGAAATTTTTACAGATAATGTACCTATGTTGCCGCTATAAGAACAAATACTAAAAACAGAAATAAATAAATGTTTATAAATAAAAAAGTACTTTCACTAAACATAATCTTTTAAGTAAGAATTTTACATAGAATCTTTCAAGTCCTCGGTGGCCGCGTGGTTAAAGCGTTAGGACTTTACGCTGCTATGACGTTGGAGCCGTAGTAAGGCAGGTTCGAATCCTAGTCAAGGCGACTTTTTTTAATCGTTTTTTTTTTAATTTTTACATATTTATTTTTACTTTTTACATATTTATTATTGATTAATACAATTTTTAGTAATGTGTTTCTTCATTTTTCTTAAAATTACTTATACGCGCGTTCAAAATTTTAGCTAAATCGGAAAAAAAGTTTATAATAATATGGTGTCTAATGTTGTATAGATAATGAATGGTACGGAACCCTTCGTGCGCGAGTCCGACTCGCACTTGACCAATTTTTACTATAATTTTATTGGTTTATTCACACGTTAATAAGATTAATAAACAAAAATGCCTATTTAGTACAATATTTAGTTCAAAATACTACATATGTACAATTTATTATCCGGGTGTAAAATTCAATGCTAAACTATCTCGATTTATCTAGTTAAGGCAATACTTTTTAATATTTGATGAGCTTTAAACAAATAATCAAACTAAAGATGTTTGAAAATCAAAATAAATAATATTTTAATGCCAACTTAGTAAATCATTAGAGTCTGATGAAGCAGCATCTGTGGGATACGATTACCAACATTACAATGTAATTTCCATGCATCTGGCTATTACAAATGAAGTTCGTAATGTGAATAAAGTAAATCAAAACGTTTTTCAATAATATTTTTGTTGTATCCACGATGCTACGTAGTATTGCGCCTTATATAACCGCTGCGTCCTTTGAAAGTAAATTTGCAAATAACTGTGAGCAACACAATAGCCGATAATTATAAACAATCGTTTAATTACAACACAAAACTGAATTATCTGGAAAAGATTATATTCCTTTACGATTTTCAATCTTCTTTAGACGGCGATTTGACTCTGATTACATGCCAAGTCAAGTTACGCAAGTTACATTATTCATGTCAGTAATGTTTTCAATTATTTCCTAATAACACCGATTGTAATTTAATGTTTCCTATTGAACACCCTGGTATTAACATTTTTATTGAACAAAATAATATCTGATACACTGCAAAATAATGTTATGTATACCTGTCTACCTATATCTCCCAGTATATTATTGTATGATAATTAATAATAAACTTGTATGTATAGTATCGGCAAAATAATGCTTTATATGGCATATATTCTTCTACTAGCTCTAGGGATTATATTATAAGTAATAATTACTGGTAGTTCCTGCCATTTTTTTACAGTTCTAATGAACAATGGGTGGCTCTTTATATTTTTCTTCACCACTCTCCCTTTACCATTGAACTTAAAGATCTCTAAAGAATATTAGGCATATTATCCTTCCACATATGGCCAAATCACTTACACACGTAGAATATTGTTCTCTTTTTATTACGGCGCTATTATTAAATCAAGAATTGATTGTATTTAAATTGTTTTAATGGTATTACCTTATTACATAAAATATATTTTAATTTGTTTAAAGATTAGATAAAATTGTGCAGTTAAGATAAACCGCAATATTAGCATATTTATTGCATAGTCAACCAGCATAAATTTATAAAATTAATTAAAATATAATTAAATAAAAAAATGTAGTAAAGCGCATATAATATATAATGATTATTCTGTATTTACAGTCATTTAAATTCACGGGTATATATTCTGTGGGTTGTATTACAGAACGTTTGTAATGCAAAATTATGATAAAAGGGTACAATTAAATATAACTCTGATTTATAATAATAATGTAAGAATCAAATAAAGATATTTTTGTAAAATGCAAAATAAAACAAGAATAAAGAAAATAGTAGTAGTAGAATGTTGTAGAATGTTTAGGGGGAGGGTTAATCACTGCAACATTTAAGCTACACGCACACTGGTGCGATCACGGCCGCGATCACGATCTACACGCGGCCGCGGCCAAAAGTTGCTGTAGAATACATATGAGCCGGTTCACATTGGCGCGATCGAGTTTTGGAGACGAAGCAGCCTGACTGCGTTCTATTCTGCGGTGGAGATCAGATTCAACTTGTCGAGTTTGATCGCGTGATCGCGACCCAACTGAGTTGCAATTTAGAAATGGAGTTAACAGAGCAGCTAATTAAGGCTGTAAAAATACACAAAATTCTATATGGTTTATCTGATCCAAGTTACAAAATTTATCGAATTAAAAATAAAAAGTTTGAGACAAAATTGGAGTTGCAATTGGATTGGATAGTACATATGTATACATTTTTATTGTTTAAGTTTAAATATTGTAGGTAAATATTTAAGAATGTTTTTTTTTCGGTATACATAATCCAAATATTTAATTTGTACCTATGTATACCTACAGGATAGCTCACTACATATAGGTACGGCGGTCAACATGAATGCGTTGGTGTGTGCTAGAATGATCGCTCATGTTATCGCTGCCTTGATCGTGATCATGATCGCGACCGTGATCGCACCAGTGCGCGTGTAGCTTAACAAATCTACTGTGTGTTCCACTTTCTTGAGTTACAACCAGTTGCAAACCAGACAAAAGCCAGTAGCTGAAGCGGCGGCGCGCGGCGGCGGCGCCACAGAGGCCAGCTCTCCATCTCCGACATCAGCCGTACCAAAGTTTATGGCACGAAGGGTTGTCGTCTCGATGCTCTCAGTGATGAGGTGTTCTGCTGTTTCCCACATTTTTCCCACAGAATCTACATTCGCCGTTGTTTTTCAGCTTCAATCTACTGAGGTGTTCGTTGAGGAGACAGTGTCCTGTTAGAAACCTCGTGACAATCCGAAGATTGTTCTTACTTAAATCAAAGAAAATCTTTGAAAAAAGATTAGAGAAAAAAGTCATTATATATATAAGAAATTTAAATTGCAATTTTTTATAAATTAATTATTATTAAACAGATCAGTATTAAAGAAAAATAAGAAGATAAGTATCACGAACTACTCCTTTGTTTTTCTCTTTTACACTCGACCAAATAAATTAATGTTAAGTGACACGTATCAAGATGG